CACGGATCATCACGCGCTTTGCTGGCTAGCCTCCCTGAAGGACCCCACGGGACGTCTCGCTCGTTGGGCTCTACGCCTTCAAGAGTACACGTTCTCTGTAATGTACAAAACAGGGTGATTACATCAGGATGCGGATTGTTTATCCCGCTACCCTATTGACGAAGCAACCGATACCGACGCTATCACAGATGTTTTTTCCGTGTCGCAGCTGTTGACCATTGCGAAGAGCAACGTCGGGATGCTTCTTTACGAGCCATCATTAACAAACTGGAGTCAACGCCACGTGACCCATCCCTACGAATGTTTTTGGTGAAAGACAGGATCCTATATTGCCAAAACCTTGATTCCTTCGGATCAGACTTACTTCCTGTCATCCCAGCGCACCTGCGTTCCTCTGTCCTGCATCAACTTCATGACGCTCCCATGACGGGCCATTTGGGCGTTTCTCACACGTACGATTAAGTACGACGTCGGTTTTTTTGGCCTGGACTTGCCCGCTCTGTTCGACGCTATGTCGCTGCTTGTGAGCCCTGTCAGCGTCGCAAAACGCCGTCTGCCCTCCCAGCCGGCTACCTTCAGCCGATCGACGTTCCCAACGAGCCTTTCTTTCGAGTTGGTCTCGACCTGTTGGGCCCTTCTCCACTCTCCACAGCCGGAAATAAAGGGATTGCTGTTGCCACGGACTACGCGACGCGGTACGCAATCACACGAGCACTCCCGACCACCTGCGCTACCGACGTTGTGGACTTTCTGCTGTACGACATATATTAGTGCACGGTGCTCCCCCTCAACTTCTCACCGACTGTGGCCGCACGTTCTTATCAGCTGTCTTTCATGAAATCCTGAGGTCTTGCCATACCAAGCACAAATGTACTACTTCGTACCATCCCCAGTCAAATAGACTCACGAAGCGCCTTAACAGGACCTTAACCGAAATGCTTGCCAAATACGTTGCGCCAGACCACCATGATTGGGAAATTCATTTGCTGTATGTGACGTTCGCCTACAATTCATCTCGTCACAACACTGCCGGATATTCGACCTACTATCTACTATGGCCGGAACCCAACTTTACCTTTAGACACGTTACTACCTGCGGCCACTGAATATGTTGGGGAAGCCATTGCCCGCGCCGACCACGCGCGCCAAGTCGCCCGTAACCGTCTACAGGCTTCACAGGCGCGCCAACAACATCTCTACAACTCTCACCATAGGGACGTGCACTTTTCTCCGGGTTCTCTCGTGCTCCTCTGGTCACCTACTTGGCGTGTTGGTTTGTCTGAAAAACTGTTGTCGCCCTACACTGGACCATTCTGTATCGTTCGCAAAGTGACAGACGTCACGTACGAGATTGTTCCAACTGATCCAACAAAGTCATCGTCAGCTCCAAGCGACATTGTTCACGTGGCTCGGCTAAAGCCCTATTACCCCTTCGACATCATCTGCGTAAATTTAGCACCGGGACGGCGCTTCTACCGCCGGGGGTTATGGTACAAAACAGCCGCTAAACACGGCTGCATGAAAGAGGAGGACGAAGTCAGTTTTTCGTTAGATACTGGTCTGGCGCCATCTTACTCGTCGAGTTCTGTGCACTGTAAATAGATCATTAAACAAGTTACTCGTAACAATATCATCAACGACTGCGATAGTCTGTTGGCATCGCATGGGCTCTTCACAAAAACCAGACAGTAATACTTCACCATCTGCGCAACGCACAGTGGCTCCACGTTCTTTCAGTAAGTCTATTCCCACGATAACGTCATGAGTAGAATTCAGAACTGCAAAATATGCCTTAAACAATTTAGCACCGAAAGTAACAGGTGCAGTACAAACTCCCGCTGGGCGCAAAGATTCCCCATTCACTGCGCGAAACGTTGTCTGGCTTCCCTAATAGTACATCACTTCCTAGTCAAGACGAGTCTTGTTGCTCCCGTGTCGACTAATACGGACCTGGGGACGATGGCCCCATTTTGTAGCATGAAAACTAGTGGAGGCATGTCTGTGCACAGTGCAAAATGTCCGGCTATCTCACTTCCATAGTCCATGGCGTCTAGTTTCCCGGCGGAGGAGAAGTGATGCGCCGACGACCTGCTGATGGTGACATATGCTGGCGAGAGGAGGCTGGTGGCGTCACACTCCGCACAGAAGCCGGCCAATCGCTCCGGAAGGTCTGATGGAAGCCGGGCCGGTAGTAGCCGTTCGGTGGCCAGTGATAGTCTCTCTGAGTACTTGCGCGCCGTAAGAATGCCGAAGGTCGTTGATACTGCGGCAGAGGTCACCAAAGCCGCTCTCAACAAAAGCGGGCTATGTGTCCAGGAACGCCGCAGTAAATCACACAGGTGCTTCGCGCCCCAATCGCTAATGAAGATGGTCAGCGGGATAATCTTGCCACACTGCCCTATTAGGGGGAGGGGTACCTTTTCATGGAGTCGTTTCGCGGATCACACATATAGGCATCATGACGCGACTGTACCGGCATCCTTCAGTCGACGAAGCCGGCAGCTTTGATGGACCCAGGCGGGAACCGCATGGCGTATAAGAACCATAGGCCCGTATTCACAAACGCTCCTCCACTCGACCCTTCACTCGAAACGCTCCTTAAGTGGCGTTTTCCCATTCACGAACCGCCCTTCACTTGAAACGCTTCCTTCACTTGAGAAAATCTTGGGCGTTTACTCGAGATTTCCAAGGAAGCGATTGAGCTACCTTGAATCGTCCCTCGAGCCAAGTATCATGGCGGACTACGCGTCGTTCGTCGATTATGTTCTCCGCGTCGACGAGCTGTTTGGCGACGTGGAGGACTGTGTAAGCATACCACGCCAACAATTGAGAGACCGGTTGAACCCCATGAAGCACTTCACAGACAGTGAATTTCTCGCCCGCTATCGCTTCACCAAGAGCAGCGTGAAGGAGCTACTTGAGTGCTTGCCATTTGAGGAGAGCTGCAGCAATCGTGGCCACCCTCTTCCACCTGTCATGCAGCTTCTGATTACGCTGCGCTTTTATGGAGCGGGTACTTTTCAAGTAGTGATGGGCGACTTGGTGAATGTGTCTCAGCCGACGGTGAGCCGCGTCATTGAACGTGTGTCACGGCTGATCGCGAAGCGCTTGTTCCCGGCTGTCGTAAATTTCCCTAACTCCGATGACAGGTTCTGTGAGACGATGGTGGAATTCTACCGGATCGCCAAGTTTCCCGGTGTGACAGGGTGCATAGATTGCACCCACGTCCGTATCAAATCACTTGGTGGGCCGAATGGTGAAGTTTACCGCAATCGGAAGGGGTAATTCTCCATAAATGTTCAAGTAACTTGCTCATTCTTCGCTGCTAACATTGAAAGCTTTGCAGTACTTCTGAAATGTAGTAATTCAACATTTACATTGCACAAGGCATTCCATGGGCTGCATATTAGCAAAAAAAAAAACTTCATGGTAGATAATTCAATTATAAAACCCCGTGCATGCTATGGTAACAACGTGGCGTTTTTTTATTATTTAGTTTAGCTTGTTTGCAACCCAGTAAAGCTGTATTCACAAGAAAGACCAGAGCGCGATTTAAACCCACGGATTGCTTGCTACAACACCAAACATCACATGTTCTCTCGTGGTCCTCCTTCAGTCCGCGCTAAGCAATTCGCGAGATGAGCGAGCAGGCCCAGGTCCCATTTGCAATGCTAGGGGTGGAGTGGAAGGGGGGGACTGAAGTTTTTGGTTGCAGTGGTAATTCACCCCTCTCGTGCGAGTGCTGGCTGCGGAGCGATCCGAATAGCGTCACATATATTCCATGAGTGTTTCGTCTGCGATGACGCCTGTCCCGTGAATGCAGCTGATATTGGCCCATAAATGGAATAGCTTTAAGTTTTTATGACTGTAGCTTTGCACTCTGAAGCAAAAGTGAATACTACTGCACTGAAACAAGATCATGCAGGCATTAAGTACGTTCGTAGTAGACGGCTGCTTCAGCACAAAAACACAGTATAACATGTATTGCATTTTCAATAGGTGATTGCAGGGCCAAAGCTACAATTATACGACGTCGTTTCGAGCTGGCCGGGATCAGTGCTTGACAGTCGTATTTTCGACAACAGTCGTGCACGCGTTCTGTACGAGCAAAAACGAGTACCGGGTCTCCTACTTGGCGATGCTGGATACCGCTGCACGTCTTTCCTCATGACACCGATGTCTGACCCGCCACCGGACAGCCCTGAGAGCCGGTTAGTACGCCTGTATAACCCTTTAACTTTCATCTCCAGAACGAAACGTGTACGTGTGTGCTACCTATCGCGCTTGAAGTTTTTTATTACATTAAGCGTGGTACATGTATCGTTTTTTGGGCCCTGAATATATCCCACGTTACAATAGAATCGGCATATTAGCAGCAACAGTTTTGACTAGCGACCTGGCTATAATACTCAAGTGTATCGTTTAATAAGTGTAAGTTAATACAGCAATACGACATTGATTTCTTTGCATAGGTATCAAGCAGCTCACATGCGCACTAGAAACACGATCGAGCGGGCCTTTGGCATGTGGAAACGTCGCTTCCCGTGCTCAGACATGGGGCTACAAAACTTGGTGGAGCGCTCCGTCGTCAATACAACGGCCTGTGCTGCCCTACACAACCTTGCAGTCCTAAGGCAAGACGCGGAACCACCACCTGTGATTATCCCACAACACTTAAGGCAGCAGCAGCCTGATGTGGCGAACCAAGCCGACAGCCTACTCGGATCTCGATGCCGAATGCGGCTGATTATTCGTGCATTTACCTCGCCTAATGAATAAATTGTGTAACATGTTCTTTTGAGTAGACAAACAACCTCAGATTGGGAAATCTATGCATGTTCACATACGAGAGCATGCTGAAAAGTTCCTGAATTCGTCACGTTTTAGGTTTTCTTTTCAACCTTGCTGACTCGCAACAATAAAATTTTTTTATCACACATGGAGCTGTTGCAGATGTCTTTTAAATAAAAGCATCAGGTTTGTGAGATTGCACACATGCTTTATTTTTGTTCCGGCTGGGTTTCTATGCGCTGCTGCTGCTGTTTTTTCTGTAATTCAAAAAGGAGCTTCTGGCGCTCGATGTTGAAGCGCCATTTTTGCTGCTCCAGCTGCAGCTCCAACAGCTGCACTTGAACTTTATGCAGCTCCTGCTCCCGCTGCACTTGCATCCTGTGCATTTTTCGTTGGTGCAAGAGCTGCTGCTTACGCAAGCGCAGCTCCAGGGAATGCAGCTGTGCCTTGCGCTGCTCATCAGTTTTCAGTGCCTCCATTCTGGCCGTAGCTTCTGGGGCGAGCACGCGCTCTATGGCTGCTAGGCGGCTTCTCGTTGATTTCGGCCGTTGGCGTTCTCCTGCACCAACTAAATTTTCCCCATTTTCTTCTGGAGCTGCTGCTGCTGTTCGTGACTCCTCGTTTCCAGGAGCAACTACTGCCAAGGTGTGAGAGGGACAGCTTGCGCAAGCACCTTCCGTGGGTGGCTGTGTAGTCTGAGGTCCTAAGGAACCAGCGCCCTCGCTCGATCGCAGTTGTGGCTGAATTGTCTCGTCTGCACACACACAATACAATTGCATAAGGTAGGGAAACGTAACACGTGTAAGCAGTGTCAGCATGACTGTTGGATGCTGCTGCAAGTATAAATACAAGCACGTTTTATATCACGCATCAGACCTGCGAGTAAAAGAGAAGTGTGGCAATTTATGCGGATCATGCCCAGCCTGTTACTTGCACACATAATTCATAATACTGTTCTGTCTAACCTCAATATCGCTATGGTAGTAGCTGAGAGAGCTTTACTGCGGAATACCTGAGCAGCATTTTATTTAAAATAACTTTACCCACATCCTTTTTCTGAAGTGTGTGATATACGTTAACCACATATTTCATGCGAAAAGCAGGCTTAATTTTACATAAAACTGTAGAAATAACTTATCTTCAATATTCCTGTTTTATGTTAGTCACACAACCCGAAAAGCCATGTCGCCAGCACTTTTATAGTTGCATGCAGTTGGGCCGTATGACTAGCGGCGCCTGTGCTCCCGATGTCGGCAAACCCATAGTTCTTGGTGACTCCAACAGCAGGCCATGGCATGAAATTGGTTGTGTCTGCACATACAAAAGAAGCAGAACTGGTGCTCTGCTGGCATGCGACGTAATCAGAAAAGCCTCTTTATGGTACAGGCACAAATAGTTGTGTGTTTGCATGCTTTCACAAGAACACGCGACATTTTTAACAAATCAGTACGTGATAGAAATATAAAAAGTCATAACAGTTGTAAATATGAAAATAAATAATGTGAGCTGGTGGCATGCAACACCGTCACTCCTCAAACATACAAGCCCCTTACCACTAATCACACATGGTGACAGATACTTCATGTGCATGCATACGGTATCAGACACAAACATAATAAAGAAAGCGACTGTCCTTCACGAATATGAGCTTCAGTTGTAGCGAAAATATTGAATCAATTGGCGAATTCTATCCCTGACAAATCAAGAGTACTAGCTCGTGGGCTAGTCAGCCTCTTGCTGCCGGGAAGTGGCGCTGAGAAAAGGGCATCTTTACACAAAAGCAAAATTGAAATACAATTCCAAAGTTGGGCTTATTATAAGGCCACCCATGATGTGAAATGTATGTGTCACACAAGTACTTGCTGAACCACGTCAAATTATGCTAGGAACGTTTTAAAAGAGTAATAGCATGCTTATTACATAGAATTACTTTCTGTTAACACCATGGCATGTTCTTGTAATGAGAATGAGAATTATTTGTACACGTAAATTTTAGTAAAATGGATATGCAAATGGTAGGAACAGAGGCATTAGTCACAAAACAAAACAACATTGAAACGCAAAACCTCCCACATTGTATACATGCATAAGTTGATGCAATATAGCAGCACGACAGTTGCTACATCTGACAGTTTTTGCCCATTCGTCTTTTACCAAGCAGCTCTTCCGTGTTGTCTTGGCTACCAGTGAGCATGCTCTCGAAAATCCGCTACGGTGATAAAGAAAACACTGGCTGATTGAGGTGGACTCCATCGCTGTCATAAGGGTTCTGGAGCCATGTCCCCATGTGTGATGCCGCCGCTCCAACAAGCGCCAATGAGCGGCTCATTGGCCGGCAGGTAGATGGCCCGCCCCTAAGGTGCGAAAATGTTGTTACGTGGATACATTGAAATTTCAAGTGACAGCACAAAGAAAGTGCTTAAGGAAGACAACGCATATGCGAGAGAAATAGGCAGCGAAAATTTATGGTACACAGATAACTTTTTAATGTACTACTACTACTACCCATTTATTTATTTATTCATCATACCTTACAAAGCCCAATACGGAATCGAGTAAGAAGGGCTAGTACAAAGTAAATAGAGAAATATACATCAGTAAATACAAGAAAAGAAAGTAAGAGAAAAAACTGTACAGTGATTTAAGTTGGAGAAAAATTATGTCCTGCAAAAATACACAGAAATACTGACAAAGAAACCAAAACTTGCACTTATATATATTATATATGTATATAGAGTGCAAAGCACGTTCAAACCGAGCAAAAGCATTTCTTAATTCATAATGAAATGACACACTTGGCACCCGATGGCGAAAAAAAATTGCAGGAAGATTTCGCCGAAAAAAAAAGAACGGTGACGACGTGATGCTATTTAAAAAAAATGTTTCTGCAAGAGAAAAACCGTCACTCCCTTCCCCTGAAGGAGAACCCTGTGCACGCCTATGATTCGCACAATTCTTGCAGGTACACATTTATTTACGACATATAGATCAGAGCGGAAACTATGCCCTTATTAGGGCGTTTTCGGATAGCTTACGCAAGAGACGCACTTTGAAAACTCATATATGACCCCCATACGCAAACGCTACGCCCACGAGGCCTGCTAACTTATTCTAAACTCCCCGCTTACAGTAGTAAACAAACGTAAACTTACCTGTGGCATACAAGTTTCGCTTTTCCTCTGACCGCTTCTTCTTCCACTTGGACTTTTCATTGTCCCACAACTTACGCAGCTGTGCCACCGTAACGCGACGAATGCCTGGTTGGCTGTTGTATTCGCTCGTCAGCTTTTCCCAGGCACTGTCCTTAGCGCGCTTGGCGAACGCGTCAGTTCTCTTGTTTTCGATAACTGCCTTGTGCCGCGTAACCAGATTGACAAGCAGTTCACGCTCCTCACGCGTGAACACGAACCGCGTTGCGGTGGTTTTCCTGCCGTCACGCGCGACGCCACGGTCATCGTTGAAAGTCATTGCACCGTTCGTCACTACGGCACCATGACACGAGACGAGGTGCAACAAAACTTCGCTCACACGTGCAAACGAGTCTTCGCAAAACCGGCATCTAATCCTGGCGGCTTCGGCTCTGGCGTGGCTAATGTGATGCCTGCCTGATATCGAAACTAGCTTATAGTATTTGAAATCTCGCTTAATACTTCCACCGTATACACATTTATTGACAGTCGACAATTTTTTAACCTATCCAAAGTGTTTCAACCTAAATTTTTGTTATTTAATGTGGTATTTTATCACATACCCTCGCTACCAGGACACGTCTTGCGTATGTCGAGTGAAGGAGCGTTTCGCGGGTCGACCCTTGGCGAAGGAGCCCTCGAGTAGCGTTAATGAAACACATCGGCTCCTTGAGTGGAGGAGCACGCTCCGCCTTGACTTCGTCAAGTCGAGGGGAGCCCTTAAGTGAAGGAGCGTTTGTGAATACGGGCCATAGTCTTGTGCTCTCGACGGCGCAGCAGCGTCGTACTGATCAAGTTCTTCGTGCACTATTTCTCGTATTGTTGACGCCAGATCGCTGGTTGGAGGGAGTACGTGGATACTTGCGACTGTTGAGACGTTGGGGAGTCTACCAAACTTTGCCAAAATGCACAGAGCTTTGAGGGCCTCAAATGCTCGGTAATGTCGGATGATGTCATTGGCTGTCTGCAAGTCATCATTTCTTATAAGGTAGTGATAGATATCCTCTGCAATGCCATTAAGGAGATGCCCGACCTTATCCTTCTCAGTCAATCGTGGGTTCACACTCTTGCATGGCTTGAGAACTTGTTCATTAAACATCGTACATGTCTCCTCAGGGACTTGAGCACATTGACTCAGGGTCTGCTCAGCAGGCTTCTTTATCATGGTGGGACCGCCAAAACACTTCTGGTTTTCGCCCACGTAGTCAAATTCTCCTCATGGTTCTCGTACCACAAACGTGGTTCATGGTTCTCGTAACAAAACATTGGCCCGAATGTGTATGTTACACTATAAATGTCGTCAAAATACGATAGTCTTGCGCCTTGAGAGAGTCAACAAAACGTATATTTGATGTTCTGTGCAAGAAAATCGGTGAATGGTATTCTGAAGGCGCTGCGTTAGAGTGCCTTCAGAAATTAGAGTGCCTTCAGTGAACAAGCGCATCTAGGCACGGTAAATACCAGCATCATCTGGCAGTGATCATCGAAAACGAAGGCATACGCAAGAACGGGGGGGGGGGGGGGTTGATGCGCGCAAGTCACGGAGGTGATAAGGTCTAGAAGGGAAAGTGACGGGCAGGTGCCACCGCCGTGACGTCACAGCAAAGCGTTGGAAACATCTTCTTGAGCATCACGTTGCACTGTCAGCACAGCGCTTTAAACGCTACAGTCTTTCGAGTGTTTTGTGTGTGTACTCTTCTAGTATAAAGGCAGACATTCAAAACATAGACATGCTGTTATGGTGCCTCAGATATTGTTACGGGGTCGTGACGTGGCCGAAGACAGGAAACTTCGTGTTGGGATTTAACTGTTTATTTGGGCGAACCTGTGCCCGGTACAGGGGAAGTCTAATTACAGCAGCAGTCTTGCACAGATAGCAGTCTCGGACTGATAGCGGCGAACGCAGCGTCGGCCTTCGATCAACAACTCACAAGCGGCGAAGCGCGTCGGCATTTATACCCCTGCCGTCGAATGTTCTAGCGTTATCGCTGGCGGTGGCGTAGGTTCCAGAACAATCTGTACCGTTCGCACAATGGGCGTGATCTTATCGAAATGATCTACTACAGCCCGGAACCTTCTCGAAACCAGCAGGCGCGGTTTGCGCCGAGAATCGTGTGGTGTTTCGGAACGATAACAAAACTTGGGAAATGGAACGTGGCATTGCCCCCCTCTGAAAAAAAGGCATCGTCCCGATGCTTTAACTAAAGATGAAGGTACAATAATAATGCAAGAAAGTACAATGAATAAATTACAATACAACAATATTACAAAACACACTGTTTCAGTTTGTTAACGTGCATGAAACGGCTTGAGGCGCGCGACATGGACGACTTCAGGTCGCGATCGGCGTCGTTGAGAGTTCGTGATGCCGTCGGGGACAACCTCGTAATCGAGTGGGCCGAGACGTCGAACCACCTTGTACGGTCCGAAGTACCGTCGCAGAAGCTTTTCACTTAGTCCACGTCGGCGTATCGGCGTCCACACCAAACATGTTCACCGGGCTGGTATTCCACGAAGCGTCGTCGAAGGTTGTAACGGTGGCTGTCGGTCGTCTGTTGATTCTTGATACGGAGACGCGCAAGTTGTCGGGCTTCTTCGGCGCGTTGAAGGTACTCGCTCACATCGAGGTTTTCTTCGTCGGTGACGTTGGGTAACATGGCATCGAGCGTCGTTGCCGGGCTCCTTCCGTAGACCAATTTGTATGGAGATATCTGCGTCGTCTCCTGCACCGCCGTGTTGTATGCGAAGGTCACATACGGAAGAATGGCGTCCCACGTCTTGTGTTCGACATCAACGTACATTGACAGCATGTCGGCGATCGTCTTGTTAAGCCGCTCGGTGAGGCCGTTGGTCTGTGGGTGGTACGCTGTCGTCCGGCGGTGGTTTGTTTGGCTGTATGCCAAGATCGCTTGAGTTAAGTCGGCAGTGAATGCCGTTCCTCTGTCGGTGATAAGGACCTCCGGGGCGCCGTGACGGAGGACGATATTTTCGACGAAGAACTTAGCTACCTCGGATGCACTGCCTTTTGGCAGGGCTTTTGTCTCGGCGTAGCGGGTGAGGTAGTCGGTAGCTACCACGATCCACTTGTTTCCGAAAGCCGACGTCGGGAACGGCCCCAGTAGGTCCATACCAATCTGCTGGAAAGGTCGGCAAGGTGGATCGATTGGCTGCAGAAGTCCCGCTGGCCTTGTCGGCGGTGTCTTGCGTCGCTGACAGTCCCGGCATGTCCTCACATAACGAGTGACGTCGGTGGTAAAACGTGGCCAGTAGTACCTTTCTTGTATCCTCGCGAGCGTGCGGGAAACACCGAGGTGCCCTGCCGTCGGATCGTCGTGCAGGGCCTGCAGGAGTTCTGGTCGCAGAGCTGAAGGCACCACAAGGAGGTACTTAGCTCGAAGCGGTGAAAAGTTTTTCTTTTGTAGAAGACCGTTTCGTAGAAAGAACGACGCAAGTGCGCGCTTGAATACCTTCGGGACTTCGGCGGTCCTGCCTTCGAGGTATTCTATTAGGGCCTTAAGTTCCGGGTCGGCCCGCTGTCGTTCAGCGAAGTCGTCGGTAGTTATCGTTCCCAAGAAGTAGTCGTCATCCGGGTCGTCGGGTAGCGGTTGGTCGACAGGCGCACGAGAGAGACAGTCAGCGTCGGAGTGTTTTTTGCCGGACTTGTAAATGACAGTAATGTCATAATCTTGAAGTCTCAGGCTCCACCGTGCGAGGCGACCTGAAGGGTCCTTCAAGGTGGCTAGCCAACTCAAGGCGTGGTGGTCGCTCACAACTTTGAAGGGCCTGCCGTAGAGGTAGGGGCGAAATTTCGACGTAGCCCAGATGATGGCGAGGCACTCCTTTTCTGTTGTGGAATAATTTGCTTCTGCTTTGGATAGCGACCGGCTGGCGTAACTAATAACCCTTTCAAGTCCGTCAGCCCTCTGCACAAGAACGGCGCCAAGACCTACGCTGCTTGCGTCAGTTTGTATTTCTGTTTCGGCGAATTCGTCGAAATGGGCAAGTAAGGGAGGCGTCTGGAGGCGATGTTTAAGCTCCTGGAAAGCGTGTTCCTGTGCCGTTTCCCACTTGAACTCCGCGTCGGCTTTGGTAAGGTTAGTGAGAGGATCGGCGATGCGGGCGAAGTTTTTCACGAACCGCCTATATTAGGCGCACAGGCCCGAAAATCGGCGCACGGCCTTCTTGTCAGTGGACGGCGGGAAGTCGGCGATGGCGGCTGTTTTCCGTGGATTGGGACGAACTCCAGACTTGCTGATAACGTGCCCCAAAAACAAGAGCTCCTCATACGCAAATCTGCACTTTTCTGGCTTCAGTGTGAGTCCGGACGTCTTGATGGCTTGAAGTACAGCTTCAAGACGCCGAAGATGCTCGTCGAAACTCGAGGAAAACATGACGACGTCGTCCAAGTACACAAGGCAAGTCTGCCACTTCAATCCTGCCAGTACTGTATCCATAACGCGTTGAAAAGTTGCAGGCGCTGAACAAAGGCCGAAGGGCATCACCTTAAACTCGAAGAGGCCGTCCGGTGTTATAAACGCCGTCTTCTCTCGGTCTCTTTCGTCGACTTCGATTTGCCAATAGCCAGTCTTAAGGTCCATTGACGAGAAGTACTTGGCGTTATGGAGCCGATCAAGTGCATCGTCTATTCGTGGGAGAGGATACACGTCCTTTCTTGTGATTTTGTTCAGGCGGCGATAATCGACGCAGAAACGTAGGGTCCCATCCTTTTTCTTCACTAACACCACGGGGGATGCCCACGGACTCTTGGACGGCTGGATAATGTCATCTCGCAGCATTTCATCAACTTGTCTCTTCATGGCCTCACGTTCTCGCGTCGAAACCCTGTACGGACTCTGACGGAGTGGTCTGGCATTTTCTTCGGTTATGATTCGATGTTTCGTGATTGGGGTCTGCCGAATTTTCGATGACGACGAAAAGCAATCTTTGTATTGCAGGAGCAGGACCTTGAGCTGTTCTTCGGAAGTCTGGGATTGACGTCGAAAGCTATGGGAGGGACTGGGTTCCTCTGAGCAGGTTCTGCAGAATCGGCGAGGGCGAAAGCACTGGTGGCTTCGACAATTTCTTCGATGTATGCGACCGTTGTTCCTTTGTTCACATGTTTGTACTCATTGCTGAAATTCGTGAGCATAACCGTTGCTTTGCCTCCCCGCAGCTCTGCAATTCCTCTTGCGACGCAAATATTTTGGGTGACCAACAGATGCTGACTGCCTTCAACGACGCCTTCCAAGTCAAATGATTTAGGAGCGCCGACTGAAATAA